TTATCTTCGTCTGTTTATAATGCCTCCATCTTAATTTTCTTTCTCATTCAGGATTCAGATTTTATGAGTGTGACTGGCCTGCTAACCGGCAGCGTGAAGCGTTTCTCCACCATGACACGGTCCGGGAGGGATAATCGCAAGTTGCTCTGTTCTGTTTCAGCAGGACTGATTGTTGTTTTCTTCATCCTCTACTATCTTGTGTCCAAAGCAGGGACTTGAGCTTGTTGTTCTGCAAGTTGTACAGAACAAAAACACAACAATTGACAGACTCGTTCAACACCTTTCTCAGTCTGCCCTGTGGTGGAGTCTTTTGAGATGTTCCAGACAGACCTTCCAAACAACTTTTCTTTCCACCAGCTGCTTGTCATTGTTCTAGCTGGTCTCAGACATCTCTTTATAAAATGAGTATGTTTGATTCTAAATAGATTTTCATGTATAACATGATTTTGATGTTGTCAAATGCTTATGCCTTTATCTCTTGCGTTGTCATCCACATCTTGCGGCCTATTTTTACAGGCTGCTTTTGTGTTACCTCCCTTACTGATATTTGGTAATAGGCTTGTGAGAAAATGTGGCTGACAAATCCGGACACTTGTTGATACTCAAAAGTTTAATAAACCAGCTGAGCTTTGGAAGCTGTGGAGTTTAGGATGCTGATTTATGAGATTTGGAAGTATGAACGTGTGACTTACATTCCAGTGTGGCACCTCAGCTGATACCTGGTCTCAGCTTCCCCTTGACTTGGAGATCTGTTAATATCCTTGGTGTCCATGGGTTGAAATTAAATCTGTACTGCTTTGAAATGAAATTAGCAGTAGATCTGGACCCTGATACTCTCTAATTGTTGCAGTGAAGAGTTGCAGAGGAGCAAGACTTTATTGAAATGCTAGCTTGGTCTTCTTTATCATCCTTCTGGGTAAAGCTGGGATGAACCCTGCAAGAAAGGGGGGCCAAAGTCCATAAGCCACCTTGATTTACACATGTGTAGTATCTCCCAGTACCTTCCGACACACTTGCAAATGCATTCCCTTAGACTATTAAATCAGTGTGAAGAAAATCTGATAGCAAAAGGTCCAGTTAATTTCTGTTATTATGGTACCCTGGTACTAGAGCACTTTGGGAAGATGTGCAAATAAAAGCAGAGGTTGAAGTCAAGCAAGACTCCTAAACAGTGCTGTTGGGGTGGTGGTGGGAGGTCAAGGAAGGATTTGATCAAAGGGTTGATTTGTTTGTTTATTTATTCATGTAGAAGGTAACCTAAGAAACTCTCGCTTTGCCTTTCATGGTGCTTTGGGGGATCCCTGCCTGCAAGCTCCTGTGAGATTTGTGGCAAGGCACATCCCTACCAGTTTTGTTCACAAAGCAGTTGTTCCCGATGAACATGCAATGCATGCCAGATTTCCTCTCCTGAGGTGGTGCGTGCAGCTCTGGGAGTGCAGTAGCTGGGAACTCCATCTTCCCTTCACCCTCTTTGCCTGTCGTTGGGCTGATTGTTGGGCTGCTCACTCACATCACGACCCCAGCTGTATTCTTCCATAGCTGAATTATTTAAGTCTGCCTATGATGGAAGTAAGAGATCTGTAACTTTAAAAATACTGTGCCTGTTGGGAGAAAGAAAAAAAAAATCTAAAAAGAAATCTAAACCACTTTTTCTTTTCAGACAAACCTCCACTGCCTGTTGTATAAACCTTTCACTTTCCAAAGCAGCTGAGCAGAGCTACCGTGTTTCATCTTGTCTGTTTTCTGTACCAGTTGCTCATGTGTACTGGTTTTCCTTGTTGGAAGTCTTTGCTTACTTGCTTCTCTTATCTTCCTGTAACAACCACCTCTCCAGGACTAAAGCATTCCTCCTCTGATTTTACAGTCTTTCTCCTCTCCAGCAAACCTATATTCATCAACGGCTGGATGTTTCCTTTGGCCTTCCCCTTGTACCCATTAGGAATTCCTTTGTCCTTGGACTAACCTGGGTCCAGATCTGTAAATGGACTGTGTTGCCCTTTGTTCCAGCTGTATCAAACTGCTAACGAAATACTACCCTAACTGGATTAGGTGTCTTTTCTACATTTGGGGGAAAATGTGCAAGGAAAGCAAGTAGAAAGGAGGCAGCAATGACTTTCTTTGGTTCTTCTTCCTGCTTCTCTGGTAAGATGTGGCAGCTCTGAACTCTTTCTGTTTGGAAGAATGATGGGTGAATTGATGGACTTTGTTTTGATTTTCTGAAACACATAACTTCTGGTGAAAGGCCACTGGAACAGCCTGGTCCTCATAATGGTGGTGATTTGGGTTTGCTTTTACTGTTGTAAATAAAGCTCTGGTTTTCGAACTTTTTGCTCAATTTTTTTTTACTTGTGCTCTAAGTGTTAGCAAGGCTAAATACAAGATCAAATCACTCAGTTGTTCTACTTGAACTGTAGAGAACCTGCTGCCTCAAAGCCCAATTTCAACGTTATCCCAAGAAACAGCACATCTTCCATGAAGTGAAATAGGGAGATTTGAGCAGAGCTGCCCCAGCTCGGAAGGAGCAGGTCATTCATTGCTCTGCAACATCTGCCTGTGCCATTTCAGGTGACTTGTATCTCCAGTATTCTCTTTGAACAAGCAATACTTCAGAAGTTGAGCTGCAGGGAGGAACGGTCTTTAATATCTTTCTGTGTTGGTCTAGGTACCAAGTAGTCCAACTGTTAGTCCGGATTTGACTTGCCTTTGGCCTTTCTTTGCAAAGGAAACCTTTTCCTATTTTTAATGCTTTGTCTCTGAGTCTTTGAACTCCTCTAGAACTCAAAAAAATTATTTAGAAAAATCCGTATTTAATTAACCTCAGGGGTTTTAAACTGAAAAATTGTAGTTAAAGGTTCTTGAACCTCAGGTGAGTTGTGCCCCCCTCCAATTCCCACCCCAGTGCAGCCGCACACTTGGAGGCAGCATTTGTAGGACCCTGTGGGCACCATACACTCTTCTGCTGCTCCAGGCACTTCTCCAGGCTCTTGCCTCGGACTCCCGCCACCTGCTTCTCCTGGCTGGTGCGGCGTTTGCCACCATCAGGTGTTGGCGCATGGCTGGAGCAAAGGCTTCAGTGCGCAAAGGAAGTGGCATAAGCATTGCCAGGCAGTGAATTCCATCAGGAGGATTTATCTGTGTATGGAGTCTTCTTTCAGGAACCGGTTATAGCACCATGTAACCATGCTCAAGCCTCTGACACTTAGAGCTGCAACATGAGGAAGTTCTTGGAAAAACTGAGTTAGGATGTGTAACCTGTAGGCATATTGCAAAAGAATCTTGCACAACAGCGAATGTGCTGAGGATGTGCAAAATCTGACAGAAGGAAGAATTCAGAATACGGGTTAATCAAAATAGCAACGCAGTCGTTGAAAGCAGCACGATAGGCTGCAGGATCAAGTACGTAACAGAATTAGCATTGGGACATACTCTCTGGAAGACAGCCTGCCACCCAGCCCTGCAACATTTCCTAGACGTCTAGTTATTTGAGTAACTCGTTTATTTTGGTTTCAGTGCTTGGCCATAGTCCTAATGTTACAATGTTTTTTCTGAGGCATAAAATTTAGAGAGAGCAGATCTTCCTTTCACACACACCCCAGCTCAAGGTGAAAGTACACAAAATATTTGGGGGTGTTTTTATTGAAGTTGTAACAAACCAAGAACTAGAACCTGGCTGTGAACTGTTATTTTAAGCGTGGTTTTGCAGTGCCATCTAAAGGTTCATCTCCACATGGTTATGGTGAGTCATTACATGCAGAATGTGTGCTTTTCTTGAATGCTAATGCCACAATTAACACACTAGCTAAAGTGTGTAACATGCATCTGGGATCGCTGCAGCAAACATGAAAAAAATTCTTTGCTAATAATGGGACAAGATGAAATACCAAAAGTAATCGCTTTCTGAATCCATATGCTCATAATTGTTTACTGGAATTAGTAGCACTTAATTGTCTGAAGACGGGGATTGCAGGTCTCAGGGAGGCTGCAGGTGCCTGGGGCTTGATCAGCGTCACTGGGAAGGGGAAAAGTGAGAAGAAAAAAAAGTGACCGTGATGCCTTGTCCTCAGTGAAGGCCATCCAGCATGGCGAGTTGACGCGCATGCGTTTGCCGTTTGCCGTGTGTTGCTATGTGTGTGCCCGGGCACTTTTAGCTAACTCCCCTGGTGCTGGTGGCAGGCTTGTTGGATACCTCCTGTGTTAGCAGGATACTTCTGATGGTCTGCTGCTGTTACTGATGGGCATTTCTCCCCTTTTTGGACAGGAATGTGAAGGCAAGAGAAGAGGGGCTTAGGGGCGGGTAAAATACATCCCTTGAGTGTTTTTTAGAAGGCTGCTGAAAGGAAAGATCTTGTGTTTGATGCAAAATGGAGCGACACGCCCACACCATCCCGCAGGGCAAAGTGACGGCTGGAGCTGACATCCTCGGTGTCCACGTCCCCGACCTCCCTGATGTCCCCGACATCCCTCTCCCAAACCCGTCCCCAGCACCCCCGTGGCCGGCATCGGCTGGTGGCCCATTGCCAGCCCTCAACGAGGAGGAGCAAGAGGGCGACTGGGGGAGCCGGGGGGACGGGACGTGTCCCCTGTGCTGTCCCCAGACACCCCGGCACCCGGAGAGGGACCCTGCAGGCGGGGGGAGTGGGGGGGGATCGTGCAGCGCCGCGGGGACGGCGACCCGCTCAGTGTCACCTGGAAATGAGGGAACGAGGGGCCGCAGGGCGCTCGTGGGGACACCGGGGAGGCACGGAGGTGGGCAGGGGCGGCTGGAGGGGCGGCGGGGGGACCCGGGGCCGGCGTTGCCACCGGCTGCTCCCCCCTCGGGGGCTGGTGCCGCCTTCCACCTCCCCACCCCCGCGGGGGT